CATGCCCTGAGCCTAAGTCCAACAGTTAATCGACTGAGCCACCCAAGTGCCCCTCCTTTATATGATTTAATCTCCTCTGCTGTGTTCTAGTCTATGCTCCTTAGATTAGCCTTCAAAATAGCAGTTAGAATTTTTCTGATGTGCCAAGGTGAGCTCCGATTGTGTCTGATAAATATCGCCAAATGAATCGTTTGTATGTTCCTGTATTCCCTACCCACTAGATCTAGGAAGCTTCCCACTAGGAAGGAAGCAAGAATCCTGTGTTTAGTGGCTGTGGGCTACTGCCTCCACCTTTTACCAGCGGGTCCCCTGGAAAAGTGGAAGACTGGAGGCGGATATCCCACACCCTTGTAGTCTTGGCTCCGGTTCAGTCTCCTCGTTTGTAAAATAGGGATGATAATAAAAGACACAGTGTAAACAGAAACGCTGTAATCTGAAAAGTGTCAGCAAACATTAGATAATACAGTGTTATAAATACAAAGCATATAATAATAGTAAATATTTACATGATCTTAAAGTAAACTCTACCCTCAATATGGGGCTTGAACTCAGTATTCCAAGATCAAGAGTCCTATGATCTAGGGACTGAGCCAGCCAGGCTCCTCTTAAAAAAAGTTTTGCAACAGAGCACCTGGGTGGCTCAATCCCTTAAGCATGAAGCATCAGACTCTTGTTTTCTGCTCAGGTCATGATCTCCCAGTTTCTTGAGTTGGAGGCCAGCATGGAGCTCTGCTCTGACAGCATAGAGACTGCTTGGGATTCTCTCTCTCTCTCTCTCTCTCTCTCTCTCTCTCTCCCTCTCTCTCCCTCTCCCTCTCCCTCTCTCCCTCCTTCCCCACTCGCACTGTTTCTGTCTCTCTCAAAATAAATAAACTGAAAAAAATATTTCGGAAAATTTCAAACACATACAAATGTAGAAAGAATAGTGATTATTTATTTACTTACGATTTTATTTTTAAGTATCTCTAGACCCAACGTGGATTTGGAAATCACAACTCTGATTTCAAGAGTCCGCATGCTGCCGCTCCAGCGACTGAGCCAGCCAGAAGCCCTGAGAATAGTATATATATATATTTTTAAACCATACGGGGTGGCCTGGCTGACTGAGTTGGTGGAGCACGTGACTCTTGATCTACGGTTGTGGGCTTAAGCCCCCTATGTTTGGAGTGGAAATTATTTAAAAAGAAAAGTTTTTAAAATAATAACTAACTTAAAAAACATGTTGTAATAAGCAACACATGGTCAATCTTTTATCATCTGTACCTCTCTCCCTTGATTATTTGGAAGGAAATTTCAGGCATTTCATGATTAAATGCTGCAGTATGCACTTTTGAAAGATAAAGATCCTGGGGCACCTGGGTGGCATAGCCGACTTCGGCTCAGGTCATGATCTCACAGTTTGTGGGTTTGAGCCCCGCATCGGGCTCTGTGCTGAACACTTGCTCAGAGCCTGGAGCCTGTTTCAGATTCTGTATCTATCTCTCTCTGCCCCTTCCCCACTCATGCTGTTTCACTCTCTCTCAAAAATAAATCAAAAATGTAAAAATAAAATTTAATAAAAAAAGAAAGATAAAGATCCTTAAATAAAAACACAGTATCAGTAACATATCTAATATAACAACAACTCTTTGATAGCACCAGAGTCAAGATTGAAATGTTACTGGTTACTTCATATTTTTTCCATTTGCTTTGTTCAAATCAGGACAACCCCCCCCACCACGTCCATATGTTGTATTTGACTGGTATGTCTATTTATCCATATACATTGCATTTAGTTGGCATGATTTTTAAGTCTCATTCAATCTTCAGGTTCTTCTTCCCTCATGCACCTAACTAAATGCATTGCATATATTAACTCACATAGTTTTTTCACAACACTGCGAAATAGGTATGAATATTATCCCCATTTTGCTGATGAGGAAAATGAACAGTTAAGTGATTTAAGCGCTCACAGTTATTGAGCACCAAAGCTGGGATTTGGATACATAAATCTTACTATCCACTGTGTTTCATGTAATACCTAGGTAGTTAATAAATGCTTCCAAAACAGTAGTGTGATAGATCAGCTACCAATATGATGAAGCGTTTTGCTCAAGGTAGACTAACGTTCATGAATTATGTTATATGTTCTATTTTAGGAAAGGATGGATCCTTACATTTTGGTTTCTTGCATGTGTTAGTGGCTATGTGTGTATATGTATATATATGTATATATATGTGTATATATACATATAATTTTTTTAGTGAGCTCTGCACCCAATGTGGGGCTCCAACTCACCACCTCAAGATCAAGTGTCCCATGCTCTACTGACTGAGCCAGCCAAGTGACTATATTTTTATTCACCCCATCACCATCCTTAATGCGAAGTATACAAAGAATGAATGCAAATGCTTTACCCTGTCTAGGGTAAAAACCAAAACAACATAGACTAATTTATCAGTTTTTTTCTTTTAATTTAAAAATTACATAAGCAAAAACCATACAAACACTAATTCTTTACATTCGTTTCATTCTAGGAAATGATGTAAATTAAATAACCTTCAAGCTCACATCTTTGGCATATACCTACCTGTGTGTGCACATGAATGTGTGCATACTCAAATATACACGTACACATAAGTATATATTTTAAAGAGCAATTATATAACTGTATTATACAAACTTTTAAGACATGATTTTCTCACTGAAAGATATCGAGATATATGGAAAAAAATGGATTCTTTAAAATAACACATGCCTATTGCAAAATATCTAAATGGTAAAGGAGATATAGAAAAAGAAAATCAACCCCTCACTCATTCTGCCTTCCAGAGTTAAATATAATTACTCTTTTAAGAGGTAAATGGTATTCTATTATACAGATGTACCATTGTTTATTTAACAGTTACCCTGTTATGGTTATTTATGCAAATTTCCTACAGTTGTAAATAATGCTGCAGCAAATATCGTGCATACATAAAATAATTTTTTGAGCTTTTTTTCTAAATTTCCAGGAAAAGAGAGTCTAATCCTTCCTTGGCTTTCCCATTTTTTAGTACTTCGACTGCTCTACCCCGACCCCCCATTCCACATACATAGAAAATGTTGGGGGCGCCTGGGTGGCTTAGTCGGTTAAGCGTCCAACTTTCGCTTAGGTCATGATCTCGCGGTTCGTGGGTTCGAGCCCCGCGTGGGGCTCTGTGCTGACTGCCAGCTCAGAGCCTGGAGCCTGTTTCAGAGTCTGTGTCTCCCTCTCTCTCTTACCCTCCCTTGTTCATGCTGCCTATTTCTCTCTCTCCTAGAAATAAATAAAAATTAAAAAAAAAGAAAATGTTGAAAATGGTTGATAAATAAAACATAACATCCAACACGTAGCAAGAGCATTTGATGCCAAATTATCTGTGTGTGGGAGAATGAGTTAATATTTCAGAGAGGGGGACAATACAGCTTTATATCTATATAGTGGAAGCATTGGGAGAAAGGCTCAATTGGGCTTTACTTCCTTTAAGGATTTTTTGCTTTGTAAAATATATGTATTTTGTAAGAAAAAGATATTATGTGTGTGTCTGTACACACACACACCCTGGCAGCACAGAGTCTGCTTGGGATTCTCTTTCCCTCCCTCTCTACCCCTCCTGTGTTCCTACTCTTGCTGTCTCCCTCTCTCTCAGAGTAAAAAATTACTTGGAAAAAAAAGAGGTCTTTGGCATTACTTGGATTGTTAGTTTAAGTAAGTCTTGACTTTGCTACTTACTAATCATGTGAACTTAGACATAGTATCTCTAAGTCATAGTTTTCTCATCTACAAAATAGGTATTGTAATGGTGGTACCTCTGGGATTGCTAGAAGAATTAAATGTGACAACACATGCAGAGTGCTCAGCTCAGTGCCTCGCACATTGTAGATATAATGTAATTTTATATAGGTATAGTTTAACTAAAGTATCATCCATTTAGCCAGAAGATAAAAGATGTTACTATCTAAATGTGAAATGATGTCCTCAAGCTACAATCTTGACTATGCAGTCCTATTTTGAGCAATTCAAATATTTCATGGAAAACATTCTTTGCTTTCATATTGTTGTATACGCTAGAAAGTAGAACGGTTTGAGACAAGTATCCTAGGCCAGAGGATGAAACATCCAAGAATTCCCAGAGGAATAAGGCGACTGGAAGAGGAAAGAAAAGCGGAGGTAGGCTTCCTGGTGGCATTTTCAGCCCTCCGGCTGGGGGTTATCCTGGGAGGGGCAGAGAATAACATTCTATACTGTAGGCCTCTCAGGATAAGATAGAAGATCGTCAAGCGAGCTGAACGACAGTCCTCTTTTGCCTCCTTTGCATACTGCACAGTGTAAAACGCATTTTCACCTAAGTTATCTCCCGGGATCCTTGCAACAGCCTTGGTGGGGAGGCAGGGCTGGTATCAAGGTCCCCTCCCCGCTGACGAAGATTCCATAAGCAAAGGGGCCTTGCACAAGTTTATACTCGAGTTTGGTCTCGAGTTTTCTCCGCTGCGTGCTCCCTTATCCCTTTACCCCTTAGTCCATCCGCAAGCATTTCCTGGGCTCCAGGATGCTGTCCGGCGACCGCGCTACCCCCGGCCCGACGCCGCAGCCCGCAGGCCCTGCCTGCGGGGGCCGAGAAGCCCACCAGCGTCGTTGCTGAGAACGCATCCCGGGGGCTGGCGTGTCCCGGACGCTACGGAGTGCGCGTAAGACCGCGGCGGCCTGGATCCGGCGCGGAAGAGGGACCGTCCCGCGGGAGAGCAGGGGCCGCCGTCCCGCGCTGCCGGCGAGCCGCCCCCGCCCCGGGGCCCGGCGGCCGGAGGCGAGCGAGCGGCGGCGCGTCCCCGGGGCGGCGGGCCGCTCCCCCGCCCCGGCGCGGCGCCCCCCGGCGGCGCTGCGCTGCCCGCGGCTCGGCGCCGCCCGCTCCTCCTTAACCCGCGCCGAGAGGCGGCGGCGGCGGCGGCCGGGCGGGCGGGGGAGGGGGAGGGGCGCGGAGCGCGGCGCGGAGGCCGGGGAGGAGCCGGGGCCTGCAGCGGAGCCGAGCCGAGCCCGAGCCCGAGCCGAGCCCTGACACCGTCCGTCCGCCTCCTGGCTCCCCCGGAGCCCGGACTGGCCGGAGCCCGAGGGCTGGCAGCGCCGGGGGCCTCACGCGCCGGAGGGAGCGGACCGGACGGGACGGGACTAGAGGAGGCGCTGCGGCCGCAGCAGCCGGGGACCGGAGTCGGGGAGCCGCGGCCTCCCGGACCCTGCTGCCCAGGCCGGCCCCGGGAGAGCGGGGAGTAGGGAAGCCCCACCCTCGGGGGCGCCCCCGGAGCGGAGGCGGGGGCGGGGACGGGGAGCAGCCTCCCTGCCCGCCGGAGGGACGACCCTCACCACTCGGGCGAGGCAAGGAAGAGACCCCTGGAGGGGAGCGTCTGCCCTTCCCAGAGGCGAGGGGAACCCCCACCCCGGCCCGGGGACAGACCTGCAGAAGTAGAAAGGGGTGATCTCGCTGGAGGAAGCCGAGCGAGCGAGCCCGCCCTCCGAACGCACACTCTCCGCAGTTCAGCACTTCGGAGGCGGAGAGACAAGGGGGCGATGCCTGTGGAGTAGGCGCCCCCCAGCCTGTCCAGTACTCACGGGGAGAGGGGTCCTTACACTCAGAAGCAGGGGACCCTCCAGGGAAAGAAGAGGACTCGGCTCTCGGCCTCTCAGGAGAGGGAGGAACTCCCCCTCAACTTCCTCGTACCCAGACAGTGGAACGGGGCAAAGCCCCTCGGCTCCGGGCTCCGGCACACAGAAGGAGCCCTCCGCTCCCGCAAGATCCACTTTGGGGGGGAGGGGGACTCCCCCAAAGGGGAGGAGACAACTCCTGGTTGGGAGAGGCTCCTCCCCTCCTCCCCAGGGGAACCGGCGGGGTGTGGGGGGTGTGCCAACTGCCCCAGGTAGGACCTCCATCTCCTCCCCCGCCTCCCCCTCCGCCTCCCTCCGCCCCTCACCCTCAGGGGACCCGGTTCCCCTCCCCAGCGTGGGATGCTCAGCGAAGTACCGGAAGAGCCACTGAGGATGAGACTCTTCATCCGCCTTTGAAGAGGGGAGCCCCTCCACCCCCAAACTCCAGTACCAGGTGGTTCCCTCCCTTTGCCGGGGGGGCCTTGGAGACAGGTTAGTGCTTTCTTTCACCTTCTCTGTCCTCTTTAGGTACCAGTGGGGGTGGGGGCTGAGATGGTGGCCCGTGGGCTTCATTCCTGGGGAAGGTAGGGTGATAACTCAGAGAGTCCTCCGGGAAATGTGTTCTGAGCAAGCTCTTGGATTCAAACTCGCATCTCGCTGCAGAGGCTCTGAGAAATGGGCTTCTGTGTGTTTGAGGACTAGACGGCCGGCGGGAGGCATTTGAGGTCCCTAGGGACCTGTGTGTTTTCGTGCAGGCGGCACAGGAGTATCAGCAGACGCCTGCATTTTCAGGACTCCATCCATGGTCGTAATGATGATGGACACATCCCGACCAGACTCCCATAGGCTCCTCCGTTTGGGGGCTTTTTTTTAAACCCAAGGGTGGGCCTTCACCAAAGTCACGGTGGCATTCCATCTGCAGCCTGGGCTTGACGAGGGCTTCCGTTGTTCCATTGCTATTACACTTTCTTACCTTGTAACCCTGTGGCAGCCGAATGGCCACCAGAGCTGTTTTCTCCAACTCGCTGGGATTACTGTCTTCCTGGACGAGAAAATCAGTCGGTCCCAGTCACCCTCTTCCTCAGACACCAGGAGTCTCCCTGTTGTGACATTCCCATTCCTCGATGGAATAAAATCCTCTATCAATAAAACCCAAAGGGAAAATGGAAAGCCCACATGTCCCAAGGCGAGAAGAAAGGGCATAGGGGAAGCCTAAGTCCTGGATTGAAGTTCTTCCCTGATGCCTGGCCCCGCACCACTGCCCCTGTGCCCCGCACAGCCCCTGCCCTACACTGACGGATCCTCAGGAAAAGGCAGATCCCGGCTGGGAAGAGAGGGGGGGTCGCTGTTCCTTCCACTCTTCCATCTAAATCTGTTGAACGCCAGGGAAATGTGACCTCTGACGAGTTTTCTTTCAGAAAAGCACCCAGTGGCTTCATCTTTTCCCTTCCTGTTTCTTGTTCCATGAGGTGTCTATGGAATCTTACATTTACGTTTCCTTTCAGGAGATAAGAGCAGGGGTCATGAAAGCCCAGCATCTTCAGAAAGGGCAGGAGACAGTGCCAGGAAGTCCCACTAGCTGGACCCGAGCTGTGTGTTTAGCAGGGTGTCTCACAACCTGGGGTCACCAGTTGGGCGACTGCTTTCCTGTCAGGCCACAGCGCGTCCCCCATCTTCTGTGTGCCCCTCACAGCCAAACCAAGTGGGATTTTTGTGCTTCCTTTTTCCTTCCCTGTCTGAGCCATGGAGGGCTGCCTGAGTCCCTACATACATCTACTTAGTTCTGGAAGCTACCTGTTCATAGTAGCGTATGAGACAGGGTTATAATCCAGGTTTATACTGCTGTGCTCTGGAACGGTGGACACAGGCTTCTTAATCCAGGCTCTGAATGTGGCTCCGTCTGTGTTTCGAGTGGTTACATATGTACTTTTCAGCCTAAACCTCCAAGCCACCAGAATCATATGTGTCTGGTAGGCCTCTAGAAGCAGGTGCCCCGGTGCAAGGACCTGGAGAAGGTGCTGGTAAGGATGCGCTGCTTGGAGGAGAGGCTTGTACTGCCCTGGCCAGTGGGAACCCTCATGAATGGCTGCACAAAAGTCTTCTCCTGCATCAGGGCAGTCAGGGTCCGGCTGGGGCCACTTCTAGAACCAGCAAGTGACTTTAATTCCTGATACCCCTGGTCTCAAAAGCATGAGGATCCTTACCTCCCAATTCTAGAACTAACTCCCTCCCCCGCTTCTTGAAAAGAGCCGAGACTCTGGGGTAATAGCAGCCCGTTTCTTTACAAAGTGCTTTCCCAGATGCCGGAATGCAACTTGTTGAATGGCTCTGGGCGAAGGGATCGCAGCACTTACACCGCACCGTGTAACAGCCTGGCTGGGACTGGGTTTCCCTGCCTCTCCCTGCCTCCGTGGAGTTGTCAGAAGCAGATGTGGGCTTGGATTGAGCTATGGTTTAGAAAGTGCCGGTTTCCAGATCACATCTTTTACAGCGAGATGTGGTCCTTGCTGAGAAAGAACCGATGATAGTCCCTTATCCCTTCATCTTTGGGGTTTACTTGGCCCTGGCATTGGTCAGTCTCAGGGTGACACGATCCCCAGAGTAAAAGCTTGAGGTTCGGACGTCCTGAAAGCTACTGCACGCTCAGCTCAGGGTTTGTAAACCGCTGCAGGCTTGCTGCTTCCAGTCTTGCCTCTGGTCTCTTGTCTAGTTTCTGATTTCTAATATTCTCTTTTTTCCCCCTATTCCAAAAAAAATAATAGCTATACTTACATAACACCTGCTAAATACTTCAAAAATATCAACTTGAGGTTATCCTCACAACAACCCTATGTAGCTGCAGTTATCATCCCCGTGTTATATAGTCGAAGAAACTACAGCACAGAGAGGTTAAGGAGCTTGCCTGAGCTGGCACAGCCGGTACGTGGTAGAGCCTGGATTGAAACCCAGGCAGCCTGGCTGGTAATTGGTAAGGTGGTAAACTTCACCACCACTCTGTTAGTTTTGGCATTCTGTACACGGCAGGAAGTTATCGCTTCTTAGTACCTGACCTTGGCACCATACAGAGAACAATTACTGGCCTTTCGGATAAAGCAGGAAGAAGACCTTGCCTCTTATTTCAGATCTTCCACGCCTCATCCAGGATCTGTCCTAGGCTCCAACAGAATGTCTTTCTGTTTTCCTCTGCCTTTTCCCCTAGGACTGCAGTCTTCCTCAGAGGTCCTGTGGATCTGATGGGGCCTGCCCTTCGGCTGCCTTTCCCAGTCTCTCTGGGTATTTCCTTTGAGTCTTCCAGTGCGCGGAGAAGAATGTAGTCTGACTCAGGTCCTGCCGCAGCCCGGTGGCACAGGTCCCACCTGGAAAGAGAGGGGTCTGGGGAACTAGGTTGGTCGGACTGGGACATGGAAGTACCTCTTGTTTGCCTTTCTAATAATAGCCCTGAACATTCGCCTGTGCCATTATTTTGGGGAGCATGGAATGTGTGGCAGCCACGAGCTCATTAAGCTTCATTCACTTCCCTCTGGGGACGAAGCTTTGGCAGTCTTTGTGGCTTCATCCCTCTCATCAAAGGGGGAGACCAGGCATCAGGACTGCGGGGAGTGAGGGGTGGTTAGGGACATTTAGTGTTAGTGAGTCAGCGTCAGGGTTGGGAATAGAACCGAGGAACCTTAATCTCTGAGCTTCTATGCACCGGGCTGCCCTTCAAGAATGGGGAAGTGGCCTGGGGTCAAGGAAATCGGATGGGTAGAGGGAGAATGGTGCCAAAAGCGCCTTGTAGCCGGTAAGGTTAAGATATATTTTGAGTGCCGGGTGATATCTGCAGGGCTGACCGGGAGGGTGCTAGGGAGAAGTTAAATTTAACGTCTCCTAACCTGGGTGCTGGGGTTCGGATAGGGAGGGGCACAGAGCCACTAGCAAAAGGCTGAGTGCTTCCCCTTCTGGAATTCATGGTGACTGGTGTGTGCCAAATGGGTTTTGTAAACCACTCGAGATTTTCTCTGTAGAGTGTCCCTGTCCAGTGTTGGGCAACTTTCGAATGGAGCATCCCCAAAGTCTTCCGTGTTCTTAAGATGAGATTTCTTAGGGATCTTGAGCAGGAGATAATGGGGAATTCTTCACAGAGACACCCCCCCACCCCCGCCCTTCTGGGAAGGACCCAGGAGAACTCTGGTCACTGAGAACACACTTATTGTCATGTTACTGTCCAGCTGGGAAAATCCAGCTGTAGGACCGATTATTGCCCAAAGTGCCCTTCTTTACCCCCAATGTTGTGGTGTTTTGATCACGTGCTAGGAGATCTGGAAGCTTCCTGGAATGATTAGATGTCCCTATCAGTTCCCAAGTCTCCATGATTTTTTTTTTAATGTTTATTTATTTTGAGAGAGAGAGAGAGAGAGAGAGAGAGAGAGAGAGAGAGATTCCCAAGCAGGCTTCACACTGTCCGTGCCAAGCTTGATGTGGGGCTCGATCTCATGAATCATGAGATCATGACCTGAGCTGAAATCAAGGGTCAGATGCTTAACCAACCCAGCCTCCCAGACGCCCCCAGGTCTCCATCAGTTGAAGGCAGGATGATGGTGGTGGGCTGAAAAGGAGGGTGGTGGGGAGAAAAGCTAAGGATAAATGGGAAGCCCCTTCATGATGCTATTTATAAACAGCTGTTTCCCCCCCTCCCATCTACAGTTCTTGGGTTTCAATTGGGTCTCTTGCTGCTCAGTCCCCTGAGGCACTAAGGTGTTTCCCTCAGCCTTGTGGAGTGGGTGTGTCGCTGGTGAGGAGCACAGCACCTGGGACAAGTGTATACATGCAAAAATCCTGTGGGTGGGGACCTGGGGGGCAGGGGAGAGGGACATGAGTGAGGACACTGACCTCTGGGAGAAAGGATAAACCCCTAGGGGAAGAGTCACGCATGGAAGAGTGAGCTGACAGCCTGAAAGATATGTTGGAGTCAGGAGAAGAGGGGGAGGCCATCATCTCTGGGGGTGAGCTTTTAACTGCAAAGTGTCCGGATTTGTGGGTAGGGGAATCCCTCACACTTGTGCGTAGCATCTCGGTGCAGAGTTAGAGATTACATACGGACTGTGTTTCTGTCCAGGATCTGGAATGCTGAGGCCCGCCAGCCCCGGCTCCTCGCGACAGATGCCCTGGTGGCGCTGTCAGCAGGGGCACCAGAAAGAAATACTGGCCGGAATCTCCCGGGCCCGCGCAGGCACCAACCTGGCACGCAGCAAGGGCACCAGGGGGTTGCTGGCACAGGCTCAGGGGGAGTGCTTCCTGCCAGCCTTTCCAGAGCCTGTGATACAGGCAGCACCAGCGTTCCTCACCTTCCCCCACCCCGACGTCATTCTGGCTACACCTCTGCCGGCAGGAGCGCCCAGGCGTGTGGGTGGCGGCAGGGTGTGCAAACACCAGGCGTGGGCGGTGTGGCCGCACCAGGAGTTTGCATGGAGGTGCATCGCAAGTGTGTGCCTGGCTGGGAAGGAGGGGGGAGGGGGGCGGGAAAGGGGGAGCCGGCTCTTGGCCCCTGAGCAGCTAAAAATAGCCGGCTATCTGATTGTCACCGGTGTGCACACAGCTGGGTGTCTCCCCAGGCTCCCTGCAGGCTGAGAGGTGGGAGGTCCTCGCCCATGACTTCTTCCTGGTGTTGGTTTGGTGTCTGTGGGCAGGAGCTTGCCAGGGGTGGCTTTAAAGGTGTGAGGGCAGCTGTGCTCACGATCTGTTACCTCTACGTGTGACTTTGTGCTCTGCTGGTAACGTCCGTGGTGTATCTAATTGTGATCTCACGCACGCGGGCCCTGCTTATGCGCGTGCCTTGCTTCTGTCCTTTGCTGGGTGACAGCTGTAATTTATGCTTGGGATATATCTGGTGTGCCTCAGGTGAACCTATACGGGATTAAAAGGATGAGTGCTCAAATATATCTAATACCAAACATCATTTTAAAAATTTTGTTTTAAATTTATTTCTGAGAGAGGGAGAGAGAGAGACAGCGCGAGCAGGGGAGGGTCAGAGAGAGAGGGAGACACAGAATCTGAAACAGGCTCCAGGCTCTGAGCTAGTCAGCACAGAGCCCGACGTGAGGGCTCAAACCCACGAACCGTGAGATCTTGACCTGAGCCGAAGTCGGACGCTTAACCGACTGAGCCACCCAGGCGGCCCTCTAATACGAAACAGCTTTCACAGTGTCGATACCTGCTTGGTTTGTATCTATTTGTGTTTACTCAGACTGTGTTTCTTTACGCGGTCACTTGTGCTCCATATCTGGGGATGTTGTATGTAATAAAGCAAGCGTCACAGGATCACCGAGTAGCCTTTGGCTGAGTTTACCTGGTATAGTCAGCTTTTTTTTTTTTTTAATTACATAGTTTACAATATTATGTTGCAGGGTTTTAAGTAAGGAGAATTGAGGGAATAGCTCTGTTTCGTGGGTGGTTTGATTCCTCTGAGTCCCGAGGGAAGGGAGGGAGTCCTCTGGGCCATGACCTACGTTAAGATGTAGGGGAAGTCCCCATCCATTGTCCAGTGGGCGACTGGTGATAGATGGCCCGGGGGCTTTGGGAATGCCTGGTTGAGGGCCTGTCCGGTTACCGGCTCCTGTGGGAATTATAGTGGAGGAAACTCTACTTCCCTGAGAGCACTACGATTTGAATATTATTTGCCACTAGTAGCCAGAGGTAACACTCCTCTGTTGTGTTTTCCTCCTCCCTTTGTTCTCTTCTGCGCAGAACCCAGAAGTACCATGGCTTCTGACCTTGAGAGCAGCCTCACCTCCATAGACTGGCTGCCGCAGCTGACCCTCCGAGCTACCATCGAGAAGCTTGGGAGCGCCTCGCAGGCCGGGCCTCCAGGCGGCGGCCGCAAGTGCCCGCCGGGCTCGCCCACAGACCCGAATGCCACCCTGAGCAAAGATGAGGCGGCCGTCCACCAGGACGGCAAACCGCGGTACAGCTACGCCACCCTCATCACCTATGCCATCAACTCCTCTCCCGCCAAGAAGATGACCCTCAGCGAGATTTACCGCTGGATCTGTGACAACTTCCCCTATTACAAGAATGCCGGCATTGGCTGGAAGGTGGGGTGGCTCCCGTAGCCTGTGCTGCTTTTTCGCCCTTCACAAGCCTTTTCCTCCACTGTGGTGTCTTCCCGTCACCTGGTCTAGTCCGCTCTGACCTGTTTCAGAGACGCGTGGACTTAAAATCTCGTATCTCCCATGCCCTACTCTTCTTCAGAGTTGGACGGCTTCCGTAAGGTGTAGCGGGGCAACCTGGTGGCACCGAGCCACCAAGTATGGCGATGAGGATGGCAAGGGGCTGTTGCTCATTTTACCCTCTTACCTTTCGGCTCCTCAAAAAGGAGATTCATTCATTTTGCAAGTCCTCGCTGCCCCTCCACTGTGTTCAAGTCACTGTGCGAGGCACGGCGTTACTTCCTCCTACCTAGAGGTGGGGGGCTCATCAGATTTTTCCCAGGCGTCATTGCACACTGTCCTATCCTCTGGAAAATTGTATGCCAATAATAATAGTAATAAGAGCACTAATAATCAGGTCCTTCACCAACGGCGCATCCACCAAGCAAGTCATCAGAGATAAGTTGTTTGGCTGGAGATAGAGGAGGAAGGAAACTCCTCTCCCAAGCAAAGAAGGAAGCCGGATGTTCTCGGTCTTCTGGAGGAGTAACTCCTTTGCCAGTGTTGAGTAGGAATGGGGCTCTCATGCAGTTCTTGCACTCTGTAGATCATCAGTTAACATACAAACCCGATGATGAGCTGGAGACTTAAAAGCATTCCGTTCTTCCTTCACAGTTGTGCCCCGGCCACCTACCCCGAGCCCCAGCCTCACCCAACACACATGTGCAACGTTACTTCTTTCCTCCACGTGTGAGCATTCCATGCGCTGTTGACAAAACAAAGGTGAACTGGCGCCTTTGTTTGCTCCTAATTTCTATCTTGTTTTTATCCACATAAACAGTCTCAAAGTGTTCTTCTTTACCACAGAGAGGATGAATTAAGCAACTGGACAGATGTGATTTTGGGGTGTTTATATACCTATTGTCAGTTGGGTGGAAAGAGCGACAAAGTATAGAATCAGGTGATACACTTCTTTTATGTACTGGAAACATCTGGTAGTCAAGCATATAGCCATTACCTCCCATCAATTTGATTTCTGCATTTTCATGTCTCATTGCTCTTGCTCTCTGGTCGGTAAGTTCCCGCATCAGTAACGAGGTGCTAAGTTTGCCGGATACTTGAACTTTCTTGTGTGTTAGGTCCCTCGGTGTCCCTCTGTGACCTATTGGAAAATTTTCTACTTTACACAAGGCTCAAAGCTAACCTGCTTCTCTGCTCCCCCAGAATTCAATTCGGCACAACCTTTCTCTCAACAAGTGTTTCCGGAAGGTGCCCAGACCTCGGGATGACCCTGGGAAGGTGAGACGCTCCTGTAAGCCTTGAAAGAAAGGGAGAGAGGAGAAGTTGACGGCCCAGAGTCCTGTGGCTGTTTTAATTACCAACAGAGAAAATCATGTTAATTAGAGAAGCAGCTTTATTTTTTCTCAGAGGAAGAGCGTGGCTATCATGCATGCGAGCCCCCGCCGGCATGGGTAACTAAGAAAGACTGTGAAATCTTTTTTTTTAAATAGAATTATTTATGGTAAAATTGACTTTAATGCTGTCTTTTTAATGTTTGGCACTCTTTTTAGATGTAAAATGTAGCCTTAATAACCTTTGTAGGAACTTTCCTGTACAAAAACCCCATGACTTTTATCTTCACAGGGGAAAAGAGATAGATCAGTTTCTTCATTTGATAGATGCAGACACGAGTTCAGGAGAGCCTTGCCTCAGATCACACAGAAGGGAAGGGTTGGGTCTGGACAGTTCCAGCTCTTTGAACTAGATACCGTTGTTTTACCCTCCCGAGCAATGGAGGCCTATGTTTGAACCACTGGGCATACCTCTGACATACTCAGTGAGCTTTTAGGACAAATTTACTCCTCAAAAAATAGCCAGGACCCTCAGGATTCTGTGTGGTTCTCCAGTTCTTTTTCTTTTCCTTTTCTTTTCTTTTTTTTTTTAAGTCTATTTGATTATTTTGAGACGGGGGGTGGGGGGCAGAGAGAGAGAGAGAGAGGGAGAGAGGGACTCCCAAGCAGGCCCCACACTATTAGCGCAGAGCCCAATGCAGGACTTGAACTCGTACCCTGACCTGAGGCAAAACCAAGAGTCAGACGCTTAACCGACTGAGCCACTCAGGTGCCCCTCTCCAGTTATTTTTCTTTCCTTTTTAAAACAAAATTTTTTAATGTTTATTTATTTTTGAGAGAGAGAGAGAGGAGCACGAGCAGGGTAGGGTCAGAGAGAGAGGGAGACGCAGAATCCGAAGCAGGCTCCAGGCTCTGAGCTGTCAGCACAGAGCCCAAAGCAGGGCTTGAACTTGTGAACTTTGAGGCCATGACCTGAGCCGAAGTCAGATGCTTAACCGACTGAGCCACCCAGGCGTCCCTGTCCAGTTATTTTTCTCAGTATAACTCATTTTTTGGTGAAAAGTCTCCCAAATACCTACTTTCCCGAAGGTGGGAATTTCTGTACATAATGATTTTGTTTTCTGTGCGGATGGGTTCTCCTTCCAGGGCTCTTACTGGACAATCGACACTTGCCCTGACATCTCCCGAAAGAGAAGGCACCCTCCAGATGATGATGTAAGTCCCATCCCTTGGGGAGAGGCCGTGTCTGAGCCAGCCGCTCCTTCCACACCCTTCCCTGGATTTGCAGTCCTTGCCTATGTCTGGGGCAAAGGAGGAGTGCCGGCAGAGGGCAGACCTGGGGTCTTGAGATGATGGCGAGTGTCTGCTTACGCACTGTGTCCTCTCACCACCCTCAGCTGTCCCAGGACTCACCGGAACAGGAGGCAAGCAAGAGCCCACGGGGAGGCGTCCCAGGGAGCGGAGAAGCCTCACTGCCTTCCGAGGGCACTCCGCAGATGTCACTTCAGAGCCCCGCGTCGATCACCAGCTACAGCCAGGTAAGAAGGGGAGGCGTGAGGGTGCCGGGGGATGGGGGATGGGAGGCGGTGGGCGGGTTCATAAATCAGCCAGTTCCAAACTGTGTCCTGGGGATCCGTGATGCAGGGGATCCGTGATGCTGGAGGCAGACGAATTGGGAAGGAAGGGGAAAGCAAAGGAGGGAAGCTGAGAGGTAGACATAACAGAACTTTGAGAACGGTCAGGGGGGATATTGTGGGAGGAAGAGAAGAAGGGGAGCCGAAAGGCTATGAGAAGGGAAGGCGGCTGGAACGTAAGAAAAAGGCTAGAGCTATAGCGGGGTAGGAATAAAGGAGACAGAGGGGAAAATGATGTTCATTCACTGAAAAGTTGGGAGAGGGTGCAGACGAGCCAGAGAGCATGGTGACGTCAAAGGGCTGTTTTGGCCCTTACTTAGGACATGGATCAAGTCTTTCCCGTTCTTTCTGCAGGGCACTGGGTCTGTGGATGGTGGAGCTGTGGCGGCAGGGGCCCCAGGCCGAGAAAGCACAGAGGGTCCTCCTCCCCTGTATAACACCAACCATGACTTCAAATTCTCCTACTCAGAGATCAACTTTCAGGATCTAAGCTGGTCCTTTCGCAACCTCTACAAATCCATGCTGGAGAAATCCTCCTCCTCTCAGCATGGTGAGTCCACGCTTGGGATGAGGGTGTGAATGTCCCTATTCTTCTGAATGGGCGGGGCCGTTCTCTTCTCTCCCAGCTATCTTTTCTTTTTTTTTTTTTAATGTTTATTTATCTTTGAGAAAGAGACAGAACACAAGTGGGACAGGGGCAGAGAGAGAGGGAGATGCAGAATCCAAAGTAGCTCCAGGCTCTGAGCCGTCAGCACAGAGTCTGATGCAGGGCTCGGACACCTGGAGATCATGACCTGAGCCAAAATGGGACACTTATTTGACTGAGCCACCCAGGCACCCCTTTTTAATTTTTTAAAAAGTGTTTATTTTTGAGAGAGGGAGAGCCTGCAAGTTGGGAAGGGGCAGAGAGAGAGAGAGGGAGACGGAGGATCTGAAGTGGGCTCTGTGCCGACAGCAGAGAGCCCCATGTGGGGCTTGAACTCACCTGAGCCGAAGTCTGATGCTTGACCAACTGAACCACCCAGGTGCCCCTTTCTCAACTTTTTAAATGTTTATTTATTCTGAGAGAGAGAGAGTGCGCGAGAGTGCACGAGAAGTGGAGGGGCAGAGAGAGGAGGAGAAAGAGAATCTCAAGCAGGCTCTGTTCCGCCAACACAGAGCCCTGTGTGGGGCTTGATTTCACGACCTGGGAGATCATGACCTGAGCCGAAATTAAGAGTTGGACGCCTAGCCCCCTGAGCCACCCAGGCGCCCTGGCCTTCTATCTTATTTTTAACACAAGGGGAGGGTGATCACTGGTCAGGGGAAGCATCTCATAAACTAAAATTATTTGGAGTCCAGCTCTTCTGGCTTAGTTCTGAAAGACAGCTATTTCAAGAGGCAGGCTGAGTTATTAGCTTCAGAAAGTGAGTTGGAGGGATTCCCCCTTCCAGAACTAAGGGCAGTGACTTTATGGCTGAATGCAGGTCATTTAGAGGATGGCCACTAGGGGACAGCAGTGGTTTCCTTACCCTCAGAAACCCTATTTCAATGTGAGACAGTTTTTTAGCATATTTATATTTACATCGATTTTTATTAGCAAAAATTCCAGACGGATGCAAACATAGAGAAAATCATATAATAAACCCTCACGTTTCCAACTTTAACACAGCCCAGTTTTAATAGCTACCAATATTTTCTTTAGTTATTTATTGATTAAAACTTTTTTTTAAGTTTCTTTCTTCAATTGAGAGAGAGAGCGCGCACAAGCAGGGGAGGGGCAGAGAGAAGGAGAGACAGAATCTGAAGCAGGTGCTCTATGCCATCAGCTCAGAACTGTTGAGTTCACAACGCAAGCTGAGATCAAGAGTTGGATGCTTAACCAACTGAGCCACCAAGGCGCCCTATTTATTTATTTTTGAGAAAGAGAGAGAGAGCGAGAGAGAGAGAGAACACGCGCGTGTGTGAGCTGGGGCTAGGCAGAGAGAGAATCCCAAACAGGCTCCATGCTGTCATCGCGGAGCCTGATGCAAGGCTCAAAACCACAAACCGTGAGATCATGACCTGAGCTGAAACCAAGGGTCAGACACTTAGCCGGGTGAGCCGCCCAGGCACCCCGCCACCTATCACTATTTTGTTCAGCTTGTTTCATTTCCCACCCAGCTGTTCTTTTTCTTTGATTTTTTAATGTTTATTTATTTCTGAGACATAGAGTGTGAGCACGGGAGGGGCAGAGAGAGAGGGAGACACAGAATCCGAAGCAGGCTCCAGACTCTGAGCTGGGTGTCAGCACAGAGCCCAACACAGGGCTCGAACCCACAAACCATGAGATAATGACCTGAGCCGAAGTCGGATGCTTAACCGACTGAGCCACCCAGGCACCCTATCATTTTTATTTTATTTGTAATTTGTAATTTATGGCTTTGTTTTATTTGTAATTTACTTTTTTTTAAGTGCTTATTTATTTATTTTGAGAGAGAGAGAGTGGGGCAGGGACAGAGAGAGAGGGAGAGAGAGAGAGAATCCCAAGCAGGCTCTGCACTGTCAGCGAAGAGCCCGATGCAGGGCCTGCACCCCCGAACCATGAGATCATGACCTGAGCCAAGATCAAGACTCAGGCCCTTAAACCGACTGAGCCACCCAGGCATCCTGTAATTCACTTTTTAAACTCCACCTGATACCTGACTTCTTTGAAGCCACGATTCCAGGCCTCCCCGATCCCTGAAGGACAGCACACAGAGGCACATGCTGGCCTTTTTGCTGAAATTTTGGCAGTTGCCTCACTGTCAAGGCCCTCTCTCTGTGTGTGAAACCTGCGGGGTCGGGAGTGGGAGAGAGGGGACAGAGGGGGCCCAGGGGGTCCTTGCTATCCCAGAACACCCTTACTGTTTGACGTCTGGGGTTTCTGTCTGAGGCCTCCCATCTTGGCCTGCGTTGCCCAGTTCACTCTCCTGCTTCCTCCCGGCCCGCAGGCTTTTCGTCTCTCCTGGGGGACGTGCCGCCCTCTAACAACTACTACATGTACCAGCAGCCGCCGCCCCAGCAGTCCCAGGCGCAGCCGCAGCAGCAGGCCCCGGCCCAGGGACCCTCGGCTGTTGGGGCTGCACCTCCGCTGCATACTCCAAGCCCGGAGGGTTGTACCCCCCCGGGGGGGAAGCAAGCTGGGGCTGAAGGCTACGGGCCCCCCTCTGTGATGGCCATGCACCCACCCCCCCTGCAGCACGGAGGCTACCGCCCGCAGCAACACCACCCCCACGCCCACCCTGCCCAGCAGCAGCCGCCGCCCCCACAGGCCCCAGGCCAGGCTCCTGTGAACAGTCCAGGCTTCGGTGAGTAAGGAGGTGCCGGGGGGCCCCAGAGGAGGGCGGACTGACCCCCTGGTTCGGCCTCTCGCCTAGAGATGCGGCTGGTTGAGAAGTGACGGTTGGCTCATCTGGGCGAACACAAGTTGCTACGTAGTGCTCTCTCTTCTGGAATTCTTGGATGTAGTCCCCTGCCTGTGCGCGAGGCTGTCCACCCCGAAAGCCTGGATGGCTTCACTAGTGTTAAATCTCCGGCGGGGGGAGGGGTTTGAAGACGGCCCTGGTAATGCAATTGATAACCTCGAGTGTAGTTCACTGTCCGCTGGCAGCCGGCTCACCCAGCACTCATCTCATTGTGCACTTGCCCTCCTCTTTGCAGCCTTTCCTCCTGACTGGTGCTCCAATATCGACTCCTTAAAGGAAAGCTTTAAGATGGTAAATCGGCTCAACTGGTCCAGCATTGAGCAGTCACAGCTCTCAGGTTCGTGATGAAAAGGGCGATGACCGGAGGGAAGGGGATACAGTGTAGGTGGAAAACCCAGTAGAAACCAGAACCAGAAGGGTTGGTTAAGCGAAGTTCAAGGATGGGAGATTCCAGTGTTTCCTCTCCATATTTCGCAAGGTGGACAATGCCAATGTTCTTTCCTTCTTTTTTTTTTTTAATATTTTATTTATTTCTGAGACAGAGAGAGAGACGGCATGAGCAGAGAGGGTCAGAGAGAGAGGGAGACACAGAATCTGAAACAGGCTCCAGGCCCTGAGCTGTCAGCACAAAGCCCAACGCAGGACTTGAACCCACGAACTGTGAGATCATGACCTGAGCCGAAGTCGGATGCTTAACTGACTGTGCCACCCAGGCGCCCCTTTTCTTTTTTTTTTAATTTTTTAAATGTTTATTCATTTTTAAGAGAGAGAGAGTGCAAGTGGGGGAGGGGCTGAGAGAGAAGGAGACACAGAATCCAAAGCAGGCTCCAGGCTCTGAGCTGTCAGCACACAGCCCGACCCGGGGCTCCAGCCCACAAGCAGTGAGATCATGACCTGAGCCGAAGTCAGAGGCTTAACCGACGGAACCCCCAGGCGCCCCTGCCAATATTTTTTCAAAGTAACTTTATAAATGTAATTTTTTTTTTTTTTAATGTTTTATTTATTTCTAGGAGAGAGAGAGAGAGAGACAGCATGAGCAGGGGAGGGTCAGAGAGAGAGGGAGTCACAGACGGAAACAGGCTCCAGGCTCTGAGCTGGCAGTCAGCACAGAGCCCGACGCGGGGCTCGAACCCACGAACCGTGAGATCATGACCTAAGCGAAAGTCGGACGCTTAACCGACTAAGCCACCCAGGCGCCCCTTTTTTTTCTTTTTTTAAATGTAATTTAAAGTAACTTTAATTAATTTTGCCTCAACTCACTCAAACTATGACAGTGTTTTTATTGTAGCCACTTCTGTCCCCGGAGAGGGAAGGCTGTCAGGAACTCAGAAACCTCAACCACCATTTTGTAGTTTTGTTGCCATTTTCTGACAGTGTGACCGCGGCCAATTCACTCACTCACTCTGGAATTTTCTTTTCTTTACCTGTGCGATGGAAATTCTGATAAGAATTTAGTCAGGAACAAATAGAAGAAGAGTTTGAAAATGTAGAGCTCCAAGAGATGGCAGTTACTGCTGACAATGAATATAGTCAGTGGTGTTGATTTAGGATGGGGCCGCAGTAGTGACGGAGGTGGGTGCAGTAGGGGCTTCGGGGCCTCTGCAAAGGGTAGCATTTCTTGCTTCTCCGTTTCTAGAACTGATGGAGAGTCTGCGACAGGCGGAGCAGAAGAACTGGAGCCTTGACCAGCATCACATCGCCAACCTGTGTGACTCTCTCAACCATTTCCTTACTCAAACTGGTCACGTGCCCCCCCCGGGGGCCTCCCACCGGCCACCAGCCTCTGCCCGTATTGCTGACTCCTGTGCCCTCGCCAGTGGCAAACAAGAGCCAGCCATGAACCAAGGTAGTGATCAAAGCAAGCTGCCCGGGGTAGAGATTGTAATGAAAAGAGGCAGGGGAGGAAGAGGGCCGAGGAGAATTGAGAAAAATCGTCTGACGGGCAGTGATCCAAGCCGGGCAGTGGGACTAGTTTGTCTGCTATGTTGACTAAACATCTATTATATCAGCAAAGTCCTGTATGGAAAAACCGTATGATTCCTTTTTACACCTTCATGTGAGAGAGTAGAATTATTTAGGAAAAGGGAAGAGAAAGGGCCCCTTCCAAATTTGTGTCTCAGCAACCTCTCCCTGAATCATATCACGTGGAGTTGAGGTTTGCTAGTTACGTGATCTTCAGACCAGTGAAATGAGAGGGATTCAATGATCACGTTTCTATATTTGTCATCCTTCTGATAGCTATGACATTTGACAATTCTAGGGACAACTAGGGTCCCTTTTCACACTAAGGGGTGAGAGCCGATAGCTCCTGCAGAAAGCCTTTATGCCTGCTGGAGCTATGGAGCAGAGCAGGGAAGGGAGGAGACATTCAGAGGAAGAATTACTTCCTGTCCCCTCGCTGTTGGGCCTTCATTGAGTATAGTGAGGTAGTCAAGTGACTCAAGTAACTCTTGTTTTGTTTTGGCAGTGAACTCTTATGTGCACCCACAAGCCCCCCACCTCTACCCTGGCCCATCACCAATGTACCCAATCCCCACCCAGGACTCAGCAGGATACAATCGCCCAGGTAAGAGCCAAGAAGCTTGTTTCTCCAATAACCCGGCACTCTCTACCCTGACGAGTTGTTTTGCTGTCCTCTGGCCCTGAGCCTCCATCTTCTTCCCTTTTTGCTGCCCCTGCTGGGAGTGGGTGAGCCTTCATGATTTCCAGGGCGGGAGGGCCCAGCCCCTTGTTAGGGAGGGATATGCCCTGGGAGCCTAAGGATGACTGGTTTTCTTTATTTATTTCTTAAAGTCTTTTTAAAAAATGTTTACTTAATTTTGAGAGAGAGAGAGAGACACAGTGCGAGTGGGGAGAGAAGGAGACAAAGAATCGGAAGCAGGCTCCAGGCTCTGAGCTGTCAGCCCAGAGCCCGATGTGGGGTTCAAACTCGTGAACTGCGAGATCATGACCCGAGCCGAAGTTGGGCGCTTAACTGACGGAGCCACCCAGGTGCCCCAAGACTGATTTACTTTAAACGTAACTTGTGCCTGCAATAATTAAAGGAAGTAAGAGCATCCATATAAACAAAAGATGGAGAACATTTATGTCTAGCTTTGGAATCTAGATGGGAGATTGGTTCAGAGAGTTAACGTGACGTGTTATACAGACGTACCTGCTTTGTGCCCACATCCGCTTTGCTGTCACCTGGCTTCTTATCAGGGCCCTGGGACTGAACAGTCTCTGTTGAAGGAGGGAGTTGGGGGAAGACCGTAACTTGCCATAAATACTATAAAATTAACAGGCTGTTCACCTTTAAATCGGTATTATTTTCCTCCCTAACTACAAGTGTTGTCAGTTTTTTGGATGACCTCTGACTCTTCCTCTGTGCGTTCCTCAGCCATGTAATACACATGCACATTTCTGTACTGTGAGTCATGTAACAGGAAGTTCTGTGTATTTTTTTTTCAGTATGACATGGGCTTCATAAGTATAATTCTCAGTGACTGCCAACCGTCACATGGCCATGCCACCTTGTTTACTCTGGTTTACTTCCTGAGACCCTGCTGCAGTGGTGGCTAGCACCGAAAAGAACTCTGGGCTGATAAGGAGGATCATTTCGCCAGCCCTTCCCAGAATTGTTTGGGGCCAAGTGCTGCCCGTCTACACTGACAGAATCGCTTCCCATCCCCTCTCCTTTTAACTTCTTTCTCTCTTCCTCACAGCACACCATCTGGTCCCTCGGCCGCCGGTGCCGCCTCCGGGGGCCAGTGAGGAAATCCCTGATGAGTTCGACTGGGACTTGATCACCTAGGGCACTGCGGAGTGTGGCCACGCGCCTGAGGCTGGGTGGTGCAGCCTGGCGGCGGGACAGACCAGCCCCAGCCCATCCCTTCCTCCTTGCTGTATATAGTTATATATCCTCTTTTTCTCTTGCTCTGTGACAGAAGCCACCACAAGATGCTGCCGAAGATAACCCCCCCTTTCCTGCCTCCTTCTTCCTCTTTCTTCTTGGTTTTTCCCCCCAATTCTTTTATTATTATTCTATTATGGTATTATTATTATTATTGTTATTATTATTATTGGTCATATGCTGCCCCCGGTCTCCTGTCCCAGCCGCACAGACCATGTCCACCCCTCGCTAATTTAAAATCATCTGGCTGGAAGGGGAGGCCCCGATGGCTCCCGAGAAGGGTTTCGAACGTTGCTGTACTTTTCTCTTTGAGAAACTCGATGCCAATCCCACCTTTCGGCCCTAAATTGTTTCCTGTTCCTGTCAGTTCAGTCCAGTACTAAAGAAGCCACCTTAGTAAGTTAAGGGGATCTAAAACACGGCTTGGCGGCCATGAATTTGCGGGTTTTACTCAATGGTGCTACTTTTGTCCTCTGAGCTCTTCCTCATCCGTTTATATCTCCAGTCCTTCCTTCTGCCAATCCTTGCGTCCCCGTCAAGGGTAAGAGTGATGGCAGTGGTGCTGGAGGGTGACGGCAAAGTCCCAGTGGAACAAGAGGTCTGGGTTGGGTCGAGTCAAGTACTGTAGAGGGACAATAGAATACAAACCAGTCAGAAAGCGAGTATATGCTACTAGAATCTTCCATTGGCTCATTCCTAGCCCCCTCTCTCTATTGGGGATAGAGTTGGTCTTAGCCAGAACTCTGCTTTCTACCCTTCAGTGTAGGTCGGGCTTTTAGGAGATGGCTTCAATTCAACCCTTCGGAGTTCTCGAACATGATTTCCTCTGGAAATCCACTGTGGCTCTTATTTGCATTTATGAATCATCCTTCAACCCCTTTTGCCCATTCGGCAAATATTATTTTGTCCTCCTTCAGTTGTTTGCCCAGTTCCTTCCCTTTTATCTTCTTCCCCCTTTCCTGGAACTCTCAAGAAAGAAAAGTAAGCCGATCTCACACTCTTAGTCTCATCCTGTGCAAGGACAAGTCGGGACTCTCTTTCCCACTGATCATGGCAGAACTGAACCTTTAGTGTCAGTGGTGGGAGGGTGGGGGGAGGAAACAGGAGCGGGTGTGCACGTGGGGAGGGAAAGTTCAGTTCTTTAACTCTGTGGGCAAATGCTTCTCTCGAAATCCACATCACTGGGGCGGAAGCTTTTGCAGTTAGGCTTTTAAGGGCTGAAGGGAATAGGCTGGGGAGAGTAAGTAATCTAGAGGGGAGAGTTTATGAGGATCAAAGGAGACTCCCGGAAGGTACAGGGACAACTTCTCTCCATCGAGGAGTGGCCATGAGTTACTGCTGCAAAGTACTTTGGGTGTATTTAATGTTAATTGTGTTCATACGAGAGGGAATAACACTTTTACTTCTGTTTTTGTTTCACTGAATGTTCGCTTTCTGAATGCTACCAGACAAACATGTAAGGACTGGACAAGGCCACTCTCTCTGCAATTTCTGCTTTTTGTTCACATTCTTTTATTTACCGATGATTTCCAGGAGATCTATTTTTCCGCTCTCTGCCTTTCCCCCCATCCACCCCTTCCTTTCTTTGTAAGGGGGTTATATATGAGAGCTCATTGAAGAAGGCTGAAGCAAAGGGGCCAGAGAGGGCGGTTAACTAAAGAGCACTTTATTTCTGTGAAGTCCTTTGTAAGAAACAGAGGTGCGAGTGGCTGGAATCCCCCGTTGTGTCGGAGGGCCATCAGTAGGGTTGAAGTATGACATAATGTTTCCCGTTGGGGAAAGGAGAACTTCTCTTAGAGCGGGGCAGAATGCCTTTGCCCCGTGTTGCTGTTCTGAGCATCCCTTCCTTATTCCTCCCTGTCAAGGTGCCTCCTCCATACACCGTTCCGTCTCTTCTCCCCAAAGTCGCCCCTTCACAAGTGATGAGTGATGATCACTTCTCTTTTCTAAACCCCTTTTCTACTCCAATCCACACGGTATCTGCGAGGGTAGACTACATTGTACATGCAAATGTTCCTTGTTTATAATTCATCGATGTCTTCTGAAAACTGGTCTCCTTAACACTCTGGTGGGCAGCCGGAGTAACTGAAGTTCGGGACTAGGGCTGAAGATCGGCTCTCAGGCCTCCTGGGATTTTAGCTCCCTTCCATTAAACTCAGCCTTGCTAAGTGGCACGGGACAAAGCCAACCCGCTTTGGACCTCAGTTTCCCCTCCCGTCCATGCAATGGAAAGAATACTTCTTTTTCCTGATGGCCCAGCATTGTGGGGCTCGAAGTACAGCTGTTGTATTGGGTGACGTGTGCAAAACCGCAGGAGCTCACTCTGCCCCCAAGAGGAAATAAGGGAGAAATTTGGAGGAGAGGGACAGAGGCACAATTATTTGGGATAGACCCACCCATCCTTGCTTTCCTCTCTTCAGCCCCCATGTTTCTGGTTTGGTGAGTCCTTCATACCACCGATAATGCTTTGCATTGGTGCAGGCTGGCAAGGGGGTGTTTGGTCTCACAAGTTGTTGTTGTTGTTTTTTGCATGCTTTCTTAATAAAAAAAAAAAAAAGGAAGAAGAATGTTTTCGCCTTTATCTCACTGGGGCTGGTCTCAAGTGTCTTTGGGCCAGGATAGGAAGGGAGAGAAAAGCCAGAACGTGTGTTTTCAGCTGGCCTTGCACCTCTTCTGCCCTCCCCTCACCGGGTTTGATTGGTTGGTTTTGAGATTTTGTGGTAAGCTTGGTGGGGAAAGAAGAATCAAAAAACAGGCTTCTAATGGTGCTTTTAAAAAATGCTATAAAATACAGTGAAATCTTGTTGGGAGAGGCAGTACCCCTTTGTAGCTTGGTGTGTAGACTAGGCCACCTTGCCTGTGTTCTAGGAGACTTCAGAGATTAGAGATACTACAGTTTGGAGAGGAGCTGGGTCTCCATCTGGGACTTCCTGGTGGTACTTAGAGGTACTTACCAGAGTTTTTCATAAGATACGAGGGAATTCCAATGGTAGGATTTTATTTTTCCTCTTTTCAGAATATGTTTGCAAGGATAGGAACTCTCTAAAGGAACCCAGAAATAGCAACTACTGAATCTTTATAACAATGCCATTCGCCCTAATATATACTAAATGCAGGAGTTTGGGAATTCTACCCAGGGTCTTGTGACATATGTTAGGACTTCCAGAAGTCTAGCTGATTGCCATTGTAGCAAGCTGATAGCCACCCACTATGAGATTTATTTGTTGCTTATTTAGAGATTAGAGATTATAATATATTCTTTTTTTTTTTTTTTTTTTGAGAGAGTGAGGGCATGCATGTACACACCAGAGGGGCAGAGGGAGAGGGAGAAAAAGAATCTTTTTTTTTTTTTTTTTAATGTTTTATTTATTTCTAGGAGAGAGAGAGAGACAGCGTGAGCAGGGGAGGGTCAGAGAGAGGGGGAGATACAGAATCTGAAACAGGCTCCAGGCTCTGAGCTGGCAGTCAGCACAGAGCCCGACGCGGGGCTTGAACCCACAAACTGCGAGATCATGACCTAAGCGAAAGTCGGACGCTTAACCGACTAAGCCACCCAGGCGCCCCGAAAAAGAATCTTTAAAAAAAATTTTTTTTTTGGGGGCGCCCGGGTGGCTTAGTCGGTTAAGTGTCCGACTTTCACTCAGGTCATGATCTCACGGTTCATGGGTTCGAGCCCTGTGTTGGGCTCTGTGCTGACTGCCAGCTCAGAGCCTGGAGCCTGTTTTGGAGTCTGTCACTCCCTCTCTTTCTGACCCTCCCCTGCTCATGCTGTCTCTCTCTCTCCTAGAAATAAATAAAACATTTAAAAAAAAATTTTTTTTAATGTTTATTTTTGAGACAGAGAGAGAGACAGTCTGCAAATGGGCAAGGGGCAGAGATAGAGAGGGAGACACAGAACCTGAAGCCGACTCCAGGCTCTGAGCTGTCAGCACAGAGCCCGACGCTGAGCTTTAAACTCACGAACTGTAAGAGCATGACCTGAGCTGAAGTCAGATGCTTAACTGACTGAGCCACCCAGGCAAGAGAGAGAATCTTAAGCAGGATCCACACCCGTCCCAGAGCCCAAAGCAGGACTTCGATCTCAGTCAGGGTCCGTGAGAGGGAAATGAAGAGTCAGATGATTAACCAACTGAGCCACCCAGGCGCCTCGAGATTATGATATATTCTGAGTGTCAGAAAATTAAGAGGATCCATGAATCAGAGCCTTTCAAGGAACCACAAGAAAGAAAACATTTATTCATATCAAATATGTAAGCAGATTACATTGGAAGGGACCATTGCAAATCTTACATCACGTTAGATATTGTTACCTCATGACTGGAAGAATTCCCAGTGATTTACAATTTTTCTGCCTAGTACTTTAGAACTTATTTGTAGTCCAGATCCTCACCTCAACCATTGAACAAATAATAGTACCTTGCAAATCTAAAACAGCTCATTTTCCTTTTTTTTTAGATTAAATAATTATATTCCACTTAGATGAGGTTACATTGTAGTACAAAGAAAGATGGAATTTTAGAAGTTTAACACATATAAGTTTATATACACAGAAAAATGAGAAGGTAGAGTTATATATATGTATATATGTATGTATGTATGTATACACCTATGTATATATGTATTTTTTTAAGAATGAGGGATGGAAGGAAAGCTATATATATGACTGGAGTGGATCCACAGAGGAGAAGAAAATGAGTGGTCATGAACAAATTAACATGATGGTTAATGAATATTAGGATGATGAATAAACAAAAATGAGGAATGTGGTTAAAATTCTTCATCTTCCAAAATAAGAAGTCGCTTTATCATGTATATAAAAACTAGCTGCATAAGCACACGACTTACCATGGTAAACATCAGAAGAAATGTCTAAAATTGTTGCAAGTGTTATTTCTGGGAGATGGGTGTAGGAGGCGGGATTGGTCAGGCAGAGTGGGGCAGGAAACTTCTTACATTTCAGTATAAGCCTGAAATGCTCTTTAAACTACGTGCATGTATTACTTTGGGAAAGATAAAGAATAATTTTTTAAAGCCCAAAGATACATCTGGTGAATGATGCACACCTGTGGCCATGCTTTCCAAAGCGTGATGGTCTTCCCGGGGATGGGGGGGTTGGGGGTGGTGGTGGGGGTGGTACTCAGTCATCAGGCAATGAATTCAAGGATTGCTGCTCTGTCCTTCACCCTCTTTCTCTTTTCACTTGAAATGAGTTTCTTGGGGGGTATTAGTTTCAAGCAAGAGGAGGGGAGCAATTTGAATCTTATGAAATTACACGTTATTAGATGCACAATCTAATATGGAAGATTTAGAGGCCAGGCTAGGGTGGGGTTAAGGGAATAGAGCTTAAGAAAAGGAATGGCTCTCTCAATAGGCAGAGTAAACAAATAGAAAACTCCACAAACCACAGCCCACACGCCATTTCATAAGTAAGTTTTCAGATGCCATAGCAGCCCGTCTTTAACATAGTAGATGCCTGTTTAATTGTAATAATGGAAACTTGGAATTCCCATGTCCCATATCCAGGAGTATTGCACATAGCAAGCCTCTGACATTGTACTCTGCTTCCAGACTCCATCTCATAACTGCTTGTTTTCATAGACTTTTTTCTTTCTGCACCTTCTTTTCATTTAAAAACATCACCACCACCACTACCATAACAGAGCCATAAATAAGTGATCATCTTTCACTCAGGTAAGACTAGATGAAATGGTTTGAAATTGAATCAGGGGGTGGGAATGGGGGTGGAGGTGGGGATTCAGGCAATACTTAAGAAAAAATTTCAGGGCACCTGACTGAGCATCTGACTTCGGCTCAGGTCATGATCTCACGGTTCGTGAGTCTGAGCCCCACATTGGGCTCTGTGCTGACAGCTCAGAGCCTAGAGCCTGCTTCAGGTTCTGTGTCTCCCTCTCTCTCTGCCCCTCCCCCACTCATGCTCTGTCAAAAATGAATAAATGTTAAAAAATTTTTTAAAAATTCATGATGGAAAAATCATCTTGAAATAGACTAGGTTCTCGTTGATTTCGTTTAGCTTCGGTTGGGATAGAAATAGAGTAATTTTTACAACAATTCTCAAATCTGGCATTCATTAGAAATAGGAGAGCTTGTTAAAAACACTTTTCTGAACCCCAGCCCCGGACATTCTGGTTCAGCAAGTTTCCAGGTGATCCGGATGCCACTAGCCTGGGACCGTACTTTGAGAACCTCTGGATTGATTCATTGATGGTTTCTGAAATCCCCTGCTCATGATATCCCTTATTGTTTTAGAAACATGTCGCACTGGGTGAATACCTCAGAACCTCTCCTTGGGTCAACTGTTCCATATTTTTACACAGATGTGCTGATACTGTTTCTTTCAGAGAAGACCTTGCTTTGGGGACAGCTGCTAGAATGTATGAGGTCTTCACTGAAAGCTGCCTCCAGAATACCTTTCATGGACTGCTTTGCTTTCTTCCTAAAATCTTTCCCCAGGAGGGCATAGAGGAAGGGATTAAAGCAACTATTGGCAGATGCTAGAGCGATGGACACGGGATCCCAAAACACCAGAGCTTCTCCAAAGGGAGTTTCTGCGTCAAAAAACAATAATAGGACCCCAACGATGTGGTATGGAGCCCAGCAGACACAGAAGATAGCCACCACAGCCATGGCCACTTTCAAGGTTTTGATCCGGGTCTTGGTGAAGCGGCTCCGTCGCATTCGAAAGATAATGAGGCTGTAGCAGGCCACCATGACAAGAAAGGGCAAAAGGAAACCCACCACTAGTCTAGTGATGGTTATTGCCAGCAGGGGGCTTAGTAGTAGACTGTCATATGGAAATGGGCCAAAATCATCATCCTGGAAATCTTGGAACAGCTCATCCATGTACGAGGAATTGTTGGAAGTACCAGAGTAAAGCTCTAAACCTAGTGGGTTAGATCTGTGCTTTTCAATGGGAAGCCCACTGGGGACTGTAGGTGAAACCTCACTAGCAGCCTTCAATAAATTATAATGTGGATGTTGATCAGATAATTTAGCTGAATGTATAGGGAGTGACTCTCCAGAAGGTCTTTGAAATGTTTGAGAAGGGAGGACAGTGGTGGCTGCCCAAGGCAGATCATTGGTTAGGTCAGAGAAAGACTCCAACCTGTCATCCGTTTCTCCAGGCCGCTGAACAATGGAGTCGTCAAGAGATCCATTTTCCAGTAGATCAATGGTGAGGTCTGAATAATCTAAGGAGCTGTAGAGGCCAAAGTTGTAGTCACATATTTCATGGTTGCCCACAGCGAACGTTTCCCGGTACATAAACACAGGTATGCACATTACAAAAGCCATGACCCATATACATCCGCAGATAGTGAAGGCTGTTCCCGTATTTCGGTGATTCTGGCACCAGATTGGCTTGAGTACCAAAAGGCAACGATCCAGGCTAATGGCAGTCAGCAGGAAGACGCTGGCAAACATGTTGAGGACAATGACGGAGGGGATGAGCTTGCACAGGAGCCAGCCATAGGGCCAGTGTCCTTGGAGAACCAAGTGAGCCAGGGAGAAGGGCAAGGAGAGGCAACAGAGGAAGTCTGCCAGTGTGAGATGCAGAAACCAAACTGTGTTCACCGTCCTCTGCATTTTTAGGCCAGCCACCCACAGCACCAGCCCATTGCCTGGCAGCCCCAGTAAGAAAGTGAGGCTGAGAACGACCATGGAGAAGATTATCTGGGGTTCATACCAGGGCTGGGAGGGGAGGTCAGTTGAGTTGGTCTCAGCAGAGAAAGACTCCATTGCTAAACTTCTATGAAAATACAAACAAAAATATCAAAACTATGTTTTTAAGGCATATTCTTAGAATTATGATGTTCCCGCATTACGATGTAGAACTACAAAAGCCCTCACACTGTTTTAGTTTGTATTCTTTCTTAAATTTTTTTCTCTAAGAGAGAGAGCATGCATACAAGGGTGAGAGGAGCAGGGGAGAGAGGGAGAATCTTAAGCAGGCTCCGTGCTCTGAGTGGAGCCTAACATGGGGCTTGATCCTATGACCCTGGGATCACAACCTGAGCCGAAATCAAGAGTTGGATGCTCGACCTACTGAGCCACCCAGACGCCCCTTGTTTGTATTCCTTGACATCACCCTGGACCACACAAAAACATTCTGTGACAATTAAAATCTACCATATCCATTTAAATGTGTATCAAAATCATAGTTTCATTCGGAAGTCCCTATCCATGTACATTTCTCCTCTTTCTTGCGCTTCCAATTTCTCATTCTGCACTGGTTCCCTTCCTCACCTGGTATCCCCTATTAAAAACAAATAAGCTAAGTGACAAACAATAACTTCTATTTTTTTGAGGGTTAATAATCATTTTAGGAACTGAACTAATTTTTTAATGTTTATTTACTTTTGAGAGAGAAAGAGAGAGTGAGCAGGGGAGGGGCAGAGAGAGAGGGAGACACAGAATCTGAAACAGGCTCCAGGCTCTAAGCTTTCAGTACAGAGCTCGACATGGGGCTCAAACTCACAAACCGTGAGATCACGACCTGAGCTGAAGTCGGACCCTCAGCTGACTGAGCCACCCAGGCGCCCCAACAAACAATAACTTCTAGACCAGAGGTTTCCAACTTTATATGCATGAAAGGGCTCTGTGAAGTTCCATCACCACCTGAAATGGTACTTAAGATTTTAACTTCACATATTCTCATTTCTTTGAGGGCAGATGTACGTCCCTCCACCAGATGTTGGAAGGACCCACCACCACAAAAAAAGGTGCACTGGATTCAGTTCTGTCTTTAGATACCTCATCTTTCCCTTTTTGCTTTCAAATTTCTTAAGAGCTGTTTACCCTGTCTGCATTGATTTCCTCATCACCCATCATTTCTTTCTTGTTTGTTTTTTTAAAATATATAATCCTAAATATATTCACATATATACATATATGCATATTTTTGTTAATCAAAATTTAATGAGATTAGACCATTGCGTGCATGTTAAAAATGCTCTTAATGGTGGTAAAATACTCATAATACAAATTTTACCATTGTAACCATTTTTTTAAAGATTTACATTTTTTTAAAGTTTATTTATTTTCAGAGAGAGAGTGAGCATGCTGTCAGCACGGAGCCCAACTCAGGGCTCAACCCCATGAACCGTGAGATAATGGCCCAAGCTGAAAACAAGAGTTAGGCACTCAACTGACTGAGCCACCTAGGTGCCCCCTGTTGCAACCATTTTTAAGTATAAAGCTCACATATATAATATACATAAATGAATATATATGTAATGAATATATAATATTTCACATTATTAGAGTGAATCCACAATAGTGGAGTGTGATTGCATAATAATGTGAATATTATAGGGGCACCTGGGTGGCTCAGTCAGTTAAATGTCTGACTTCGGCTCAGGTCATGATCTCACGGTTCGTGGGTTTGAGCCCCGCATCGGGCTCTGTGCTGACAGCTCAGAGCCTGGAGCCTGTTTCAGATTCTGTGTCTCCCTCTCTGACCCTTCCTTGCTCACCCTGTCTCTCTCTCTCAGAAATAAATAAAACATTAAAAAATTTTTAAATAATGTGAATATTATGTATATAATATAATATGTAATGAATATATTATGTATGTAATGAATATATAATATAATATTCACATTATTGTAAAATCATTCTCCAGAACTTTTTCATGTAGTAAAACTGAAACTCTATACCCATTAGACAACAACTAGCTACTTCCCTCTCACCCCAGCCTCCAGCAAAACACCATTCTACTTTCTGTTACTATGTATTTGACTACTCCAGATGTCTTCTCTAAATGGAATCATACAGCATTTGTCTTTTGGTGTCTGGTTTATTTCACTCAGCATAACATTTTCAATGTTGTAGCATATATCAGAATATGTCAGAATATGTCAGAATTTCTCTCCTAAGGCTAAATAATATTCCATTTTATGTAAACACCACATTTTATTTATCCATTCATCTCTTGATGTGAATTGCTCTCACCTTTTAGCTGTTGTAAATAATGCTGCTATGAACTGGCATGCCTATTGTTTTTTAAACTGCTTTTTTTTTTCAGCGAGTCTTGTATCATACAGTAGGATTGTACCTTAAGGAATGTTCAGTGTTTAGCCAGTGTTTTTACAACCATCCCCAAAATATCTTCTAGAGCTGATTTGTCCACAGTTGTATCCAATCAAGGATCACACTTTGCATTAGGAAGAGAGATTTGAATTGAGAGAGAGACAGAGAGAGAGATCACTTTGTGTGTGTGCATGCACGTGAGCAGGAGAGAGGCAGAGAGAGTGGGAGAAAGTGAGAGAGAATCCCAAGGAGGCTCTGAACTGTATAGTGCAGAGCTGGATGCGGGGCTTGACCCTGCGGGGCTTGATCCCACAAACCCAGAGATCATGACCTGAGCCAAAATCAAGAGTTGGAGGCTTACAGGACTGAGCCACCCAGGTCAGATGTTTCTTATGTCTCTTTTTAGCATAGTTTCTCTTTTTCAAGGAGACTAGCTTATTTCAGGGTCTGTTGTTCCTACCACTCATCTTTTACCCTTTGTAATTAAAAAAAAAAAATTATTTATTTATTTATTTTTCTTACAAATAGTTTGTTGTCAAGTTGGTTAACATTTATTTGTTTTTGAGAGACAGAGCCCAAGTGGGAGAGGGCCAGAGAGAGAAAGAGACACAGAATCCAAAGCAGGCTACGGGCTCCAAGCTGTCAGCACAGAACCTGTCGCAGGGCTCGAACCCATGAACCTCGAGATCATGACCTGAGCCGAAGTCAGATGCTTAACCGACTGAGCCACCCAGGCTTCCCTACCCTTTGTAATTTTTGAGCTTTTTGCAATTTGTCTTCTGTCCTATCACTATGCTAAAATTACCCATAAATAACAAATCCAGTGGTGCCTGGGTGGCTCAGTTGGTAGAGGGTCCAACTCTTGATTTCAACTCAGGTCATGATCCCAGCATTGTGGGACAGAGCTCAGCATCCAGCTTTCAGCTGAGTGTGGAACCTGCTTAAAGTTCCCTCTCTCTCTCACTCTGCCCCCTCCCCCCACATAAATAAATGAATGAATGAGTGAATAGATAAATAACAAATCCCAACATCTTATTCTGTCTTCATCCACCAGTCTATTCTCTTGACCTCTGTGACATTGCTCTCCCTTAATTCTGAAGACTCCTATAAATGTACCCTACCGTATAGCTTTCCTGAGCAATTCACTATGCTGGTTCGTGTTGTTTACCTCTGTCTGGAATTATGTCCTTCACTTTAACCTCCTCCATCTTGCATCCTTAATCTCTATCTGTTGAAATCCTAGCCATTCTTCAAAAACAAGCTCAAATATTATTTTTCCTTGAAACTTCCTCTTAAAGTCTCAAACAGAAATTAATTCTTCGGTCTCTTAAATTTGTGTGTGTATGTGTGTGTGTTGAATTCTCTTTCATATTATCTGTGCGATGATACATTTTGCCTTGTATTATAATTATTACCGTGGCTGTCTTATCTATCATGCTAGCCTTAAATTTCATGACGGTAAAGATGAACCCCATTCCTACGTGCTTGTTCCTCAGAATTTAGCACAATGCCTTATATGATGACATAAAGATCAAAGCTTACTATAGTGGATGGATGTTCGTTTTGGGGGATTACTTTCTTTTTCCTTTTTCTTTAAAGGAATTTTAAATTCTTTAAATTTAAATTTAAAATTTAAAATTCTTATTCCTATCCATTAATTCATTAAAGATGCTGTCTCTTTCTACTTCCCTTTTATTTTCCAGTTCCCAGTTCTCACTGGCTATAATAGCATTTTATGTTTCTTTTCATAGCGTCCCAAAATATTTTTGTGGCTTCGAAGTCATTCTGCTGAGTTAACCAAACATTGTCGTAGGGTCTTATGTGATTAGCAGAAGTTAAAGTAACTGAGTCAACAAAAAAATAAAAAAGAAGAAGTGACTCTCATTCCCCTCTCTGTAGCCTTATCCACTCAAATATTCAAGTCCCATCAGGATCCTTTCCTTCCCTGTTGTACACGGTTGCTAGGCTGGCCCACTGTCCTATTCCAACACACGTATTAATGTGGAGATCCATATTACTGAGAGAAGGGTAGAATCAGAGAAAGCAAAGGCTAAAGGGAAACTCAGTAATCATCTTTCCTTGTCTTTAGTTTTATTTTACAGTTTTTGATACCGATACTCAGCAAATTAGGTGACTTCGCATATTCACCCCTTGGAGGGTTCTGAGATCTTAGGACCAGTGTCCTAACACCAATACTCCTTTTACTACAAAGAATCACAGAACTAAAAAGCCTTTGATGTTGCTAATAAAGGGAAAGGTATGGAGAACTGCACCAGTCAAAGTAATAAAGACTGGAATGAGGGGCACCTGGGTGGCTCAGTCAGTAAGCGTCGGACTTCGGCTCAGGTCATGATCTCATGGTTTGTGGGCTCTGTGCTGACAGCTCAGAGCTTGGAGCCTGTTTTGGATTCTGTATCTCCCTCGGTCCCTGGCCCTCCCCTGCTTGTGTTCTATCTTTCTCTCTTTCAAAAATAAATAAACATTAAAAATAAAAAGACTGAAAAGAGCAAAATGTTAATAGAGTCAACGGTGTGAGCTATATTTTAAATATCATATAACATCTGTCTTGAAATGAAAGTATATATGAATCAGTCTTAAAAAGTCTTTCTTTTTTAAAAAAATTTTTTAAAAATTTATTTCTGAGAGAGAGAGACAGACAGACAGACAGCAGGGGAGGGTCAGAGAGAGAGGGAGACACAGAATCTGAAGCAGTTTCCAGGCTCTGAGCCAGCCGTCAGCACAAAGCGCGATGCAGGGTTTGAACCCACGAACCGTGAGATCATGACCTGAGCCGGAGTCGGACGCTTAACTGACTGAGCCACCCAGTGCCCCTTAAAAAGTCTTTCAAGGGACACCTGCATACCACTTGGGCTCGGGTCACGATCTCGTGGGTTTGAGTTCCACATTGGGCTCTGTGGTGACAACATGGAGTCTGGAGCCTGTTTTGGATGCTGTGTCTCCCTCTCTCTCTCTGTCCTTCCTCTGCTCGTGCTCTGTCTCTGTCTCTCAGAAATGAATAAATGTTAAAAAAAAAAAAAGTATTTCAGAACAAGAGAACTCTACGTTTCTCCAAGTGCTTTGGTTGAAAGATATCTCTACATTTAAGATTGGTAAAGCTCCTTTCTTTCTTCCTTTTCTTTAATTTTCAATGCTGAATTGGCTAAAAGTGTTTAAAAAAATAAAAGAAATCCTGAAACTGAGATTCAATTATGATAAGAAGAGAAAGTAGATTCCAGAATCAAAACTAGTGATAGGATGACAGAGTCGGTAACAATATGGAATAAGCAAAAGAATAAAAGAAAAAAAGAGGAAAGTGGAATGAAAAAAATATATGTATACGTAAAGAAAAAAATAGGCCACTGATTTGAGAAACAAAACTCTAGTGGAAAGCTGGAATCATAGTGCAGAAAGAGAAACATAGCCAATTTAAGAGAGAAAAAAATGGCATGAAAATTCACTATTAGTTCTAGAATGAAACTATTAACAAGAAAGATAAATAGAATGTGGGATATTTAGAAAAAGAGAGGTGGATGGGAGGATAAAACAAAAGCAATGCAAGTTGGGGAAGGAACTGGGGGAAGAGAGGTTAATGACGCTCAAACCATTGTCGGTAACATGGAAACAAGTACCAGTGACCAGGTGGATGTAGGTTTTCTTACCAAAAACTAAGACAGTAGCTGAAGGCTTCCACACCAGCCCGGAGGTCCCCACACGTCCAATCTGGTCTTCTCTCTCACCCACGGTCAAGTTATGAAGTTTAGGAAATGTGCTGAACCATTTCTCTTTTCACTCTTTTCGTTTCTGATGATGATAGATGGAATTTCGCACTTTTGACTCCTCTGTGACTTCACAGGATGAGTTTCAAAGTGAGTCATTTCTGAATGTCTCAGATAAGGAGAGAGTAACAGAGAGGAAGTGGGAGGGGATACTTCTCTTGATGTTTTCTGCAGGACAAAGAATATGGCTAAAGAGGGAGTACTTCTTTTTTTGTTTGCTTGTTTTCATTCATAGTTTATTGTCAAGTTGGTTTACATATGACACCCAGTGCTCATCCCAACAAGTGCCCTCCCCCATGCCCATCACCCCCCTTGCCCTCTCCCCCACCCCCATCAGCCCTCAGTTTGTTCTCAGCATTCAAGAGTCTTTCATGCTTTGCCTCTCTCCCTCTTCCCCACTATTTTCCCTCTTCTTCTCCCCCATGGTCCTCGGTTAAGTTTCTCCTGATCCACCTGTAAGTGAAAACATATGGTATCTGTCTTTCTCTGCCTGACTTATTTCACTCAGCATAACACCCTCAAATTCCATCCACGTTGCTACAAATAGCACCATCCTACACAGTTGGTGGGAATGTAAACTGGTGCAGCCCCTCTGGAAAACAGTGTGGCGGTTCCTCAAAAAATTAACAATAGAACTCCCCTATGACCCAGCAATAGCACTGCTAGGAATTTACCCAAGCGATACAGGAGTGCTGATGCCTAGGGGCACATGTACCCCAATGTTCATAGCAGCACAGAGTAGCCAAAACATGGAAGGAGCCTAAGTGTCCATCAACAGACAGATGGATCGAGAAGATGTGGTTCATCTCTACAATGGAATACTACATGGCAACGAGAAGGAATGAAATCTGGCCATTTGCAGCAACATGGAAGAGGTAGTACTTCTGTAATTAGCTTCTCACTTAGTAGGTTTGGGCTTGTGATTTAGAAACACACAACAATGGCCCTACCGTATGTGAGGGTGGAGGTGAGGAGTGGTTGAGATGAATGACCTGCAACAGCCCCATGTAGTGAATGTCAAATAGCATCCCTTAAATGCTTAATATGTGTAAAGAAACATGCCATACCACAATCAGATTAGGCTATGTTCTAATCTTGAGAGATTCATAATCTGGTAGGAATACCCACTCATATGCTAAAAAACTGTAATACAACCCAGACTATAATGGCAGAGGTACTGGTAGAAGTAAAATAGAAGAACCTAGCAGGAAAAGGCGTATTTAGTCTGGGGCAATCTGGGGAAAGGATTAAGGGAGAAGTAAGATCTGGGCAGGTCCTTAAAGACTTCTGTAGATACAAGAAGCTGACATGCTGTGTAGAGTGGGTAAGGGGAACAAAATGAGAGACGGGGGTGGGGTGGGAGAGTGCTTCAGGTATTGGGAGTGGGCAGAATAGTTAGTCAATTAGATAGTCTCATCAGGAAAGAGCGCAGAAGATTGAAGAGGGACCTTAAGCAGTGATTCCTGCTTAAAGTATACATCGTAAATAGTTCTCGCTCACATTATTCTTTTACGCATATGCACGTGAAATAAAATTCATTTGGGTCAAATGTTTTTGAATATTCTTGCCTGTGGTAAAGGCTTCGGTCCATATTAATCAACTTCTTGTCCAAACAGTATCTGCTTCTCCTCCTCTTTGCAGAGAAATCACCATGGAATTTTATTTATTTATTTACATATGTTATGTATGTATGTATGTACGTATGTGTGTATGTATGTGTGTATTTATATTTGAGCGAGAGCACGCATGCGTGGGGCAGAGGGCAAAAGCAGAAGGAGAGAGAAAGAGCCTCAAGCAGTCTCCACACTCAGCACAGACCCCAACTCAGGCTTGGTCCCATAACCCTGAGATCATGACCTGAGCCAAACTTTAGAGTCAGACACTTAACCAACTGAGCCATCCAGGTACCCCGCCATGGAATATTTTTAAGACAGAAGGACCCAAGAAAAATGTGAAGAGTTGGGATTGATTGGTTGATGTCCATTATTATTATCTAATGACAAGAGTAGTACATACTTGTACAAAAAAATGAATGGAAATAATACAGAAGTATAAAGGGTAAAAGAATGAAAGTGTTTATTACTAATTCCACTGCCTGGAAGTAAGTATTTTTAATAGGTAGTATTCATTCTTTGTCATTTTGTTCTAAGTATAGCACATATATTTCTTTTTATTTTTGTAAGTTTGTTTTTATTTATTCTTAGAGAGATAGAGAGCAAGAGACAGAGAGGCAGAGACAGAGGTAGGCAGAATCCCAAGCAGGCTCCCCTCTCTCAGCATAGAACCATGATTCATGAACCATAAACCATGAGATCTTGACCTAAGCCAAAGTCAAGAGCTGGACACTGAGCCACCGAGGGGCCCCATAGCACATATCTTTTTAAAAAGGTGGTTTCATGGGCCGCTTGGGTGGCTCAGTTGGTTGGGAGTCCTACTTAGGCTCAGGTCATGATCTCACAGTTTGTGGGTCCCAGCCCCGCATCAGGCTCTGAGCTGAACGCTTGCTCAGAACTTGGAGCTGCTTCGGATTCTGTGTCTCCTTCTCTCTCTGCCCCTCCCCCGCTCACGCTCTGTCTCACTCTGTCTCTCAAAAATAAATGTAAAAAAATAAAATTATAAAGGAGGTTCAGGGACACCTGGCTGGCTCAGTAGGTGGAGCATGCAACTTTTGATCTTGGGGTTGTGGGTTCAAGCCCCATGTTGGGTAGAGATTACTTAAAGATAAAATCTTTAAAAAATAAAAATAAAAAGGCAGCTTCAGACAAAAATGGAAACATAATTTACATGTGATTTTATGATCTGCTCTTTTGCTTAATGATATAGCGAAAGAGATTTCCATGTTAGTGCACATAATTCTATTAATTATATTCTGGTTTTTTAATGTAGTATTTGGAAACATTGAATAAGGAAGGTATTCAGAAAGCACAAATATTAAGCATACAAAAGATAGACAGTATTATCATAAGTGTATGTATATATACATTGTATATATGTATACAGACACACTATATACTTAAACTAATGCATTCCGATGGTAAAAACATCAACAACAACAAACCCCCCCCCAAAAAAAAACCTTCTAATTATAGAAAGATTAAAATAAAAACCAAAACTTCCAGAACACCCAGTTATCCTATTTTCATTCCCTGGAGGTAATCTCTTTCATTTATATAAATGCTATTTCATTGCACATGTTGTCTTATTCTGCTTTTTCTATTTATCTTTTCATATCAGGACATAGGAGTCCACATTTTTAATTTGCTCTGTATTATCCCACTTAATCAATTATTCCCCTGTTGATGGATATTCTGCTTTTTAAAAATTTTTTTAAATGTTTTATTTGAGAGTGAGAGAAAGAGAGAGAGAGGGGGAGAGAGAGAGAGGCAACATGAGCAAGGGAGGGTTAGAGAGAGAGGGAGACACACAATCTGAAGCAGGCTCCAGGCTCTGAGCTGTCAGCACAGAGCCCAACGCGGGGCTCGAACCCACGAACCGCAAGATCATGACCTGAGCTGAAGTCAGACACCTAACTAACTGGGCCACCCAGGTGCCCCTGGATATTCTGTTTTTATGAAATTTTAAAGCAGTATAAACAATGCTCCAATGAATATTCTTTTGTTTTACATATCTATGAATATTTTGGAGAATAGGTTCCCAGAGTTATAATTGTTAAAGCTAAGAGTATGTACATTTACATTTTTGGAAGATATATAATTTCCCACTAAAAAGATGCCATCAATTTACACTCCCACCAACAGTGGTGAGTGTTTCTTTTCCATTTCCAAAAGGGAGGTCTTTATCATGAAGTTTGTATCATAAACACGTACTCTGCTCCTACTACAGACCCTGTGCTTCCGCACTAGAAGAAACAGAAGCCATGAGAGAGTTACATAATTATTATCCAGTAAGGGCTGCTAGGAGATTCCCAATATGCCCTGGAAACATGGAAGAGAAAAAGACTAATTCCTACCAAAGCAAATAGAAGGATGATACACTGAAAATGTAGCACCTGAGCTGAGCTTTAAAGATGAGTAGAAATGTTGTAAGTGCTAGTAGTGCAGAAAAAAGTAACAATTTATCTGTCTTACAGCTCTACTAGACCACGACTTTGTTTCTATCTCTATTGCCTGCTACATGCTTGGTGTAAACATTTCTGGGGCACCAAAGAATGAAAGAATGAATGAATGAATGAATGAATGAATGGTTGAAAAGGATGTTGACTTTTTATCTTTTTAATGTTTATTTATTGTCTTTGAAAGAGAGAGAGAGGGAGAGTTCACATATATATGTGCAAGCAGGGGAGGGGGAGAGAGAGAATCCCAAGCAGGCTCCACACTGTCAGTGCAGAACCCTATATGGGGCTCAAATCCATGAACTGAGATATCATGACCTTAGCAGAAATCAAGAGTCAGATGATTAACCGACTGAGCCGTGTAGGAGCCCCCTGACTCCTGCCTCTCTAAAGATTATAAAGCAATGAAAACCAACTAGATTCCTTATATTTTCAGATCAGGAAGGAAATGATTGAAAACACCTTGTACATAGTACTCCTTTTTCGGTATGACTTCTGGTCCCTTCTTATAATGAACTAGTTGTTTTGTGGTATAAAGTGGATAATTTGGGGAGATTTATGTGGTTATTTTCTGTTTTGTTTCTTTTAAATATCTAGTTATAAATATCTAAGCAGAGATTCGATGCTTTAGAAAGAATGAAGTTTAGAATATATATTTCAAAGTCAGTCATATTAACACCTTTTATGAGCCACTGATAATTCTACATCTTCAGTGATGGCAATTTGTATTCACCTGGCCAAATTAAAAATTTTAAGATCATAGAAACTCTAGCCTGTTTGTCTGGGAGAATTAGAAATAAATATACAACAAATTTTCTGTCTTTAAGGTCTTCAGTGAAAACTGAGTTTGAATCCCAGCTGTCACTTAATTATGTGACTGTACAAAAATTATTGAAATTCTGTGATTTCATTTCCTCACCCACAAAACGGGGATTGTGTCAGACTTTATCTATCGATACTTAAACCGATGCCCATCCTTCCTTATTATCTCTCTACT